TAATGTAAAATTCTTCTCCACAAAACCATATTTTCCACCTTTTTTTAACTGTCCTTTCCATTTCTATGGTGTTTCAGCTGAAGAGCTTGACACCACTCTCCAAAGCAGGAACCAGTGAAGTCCATGTCTTTCTCCAGCCTGGGGAGCTTGACCCCCTTGTGCCTTCACCTTTGTGAGAAGGTCTGAGGGTAAAGGAGGAAACAGCAGAGCCATGGCCTCCCAATTCATTTTTACCTCTCCATCCATCACAATATCTTTTATTGGAAGAAAGATCACTTAGCTCACACCTCCCCTCGCAGTTTGCTCCAGGTGAAAAAGAAGAGAAAAAATTCTGAGGTTTATTTAAGTGTCTATTGCTGTTGATCTGGAAAGGAGCTAAAAATCTGAATGAGCTTATAATTGTAACTTTACCTCATTTAAAACCTCTTTTTCGTGGCTGAGATGGCAACAACAATGTAAGATCTCACATATGCTGCATCTTCCCAGCTCTTACCAGGCGTAATTTTTAATCTAGATACAAGGCTGGATAAAAATAGGGTTTTAAATCTTAGCCAGCCTCTGCCTCAGGTTTTGTATAATCTAGAAATCTAGCTACTTCCATTTTTTTGAGGCCAGTTGAAACCAGAGTGGGACAAACTACTTTTAGCATGGAACATATTGGATGGATGGAATTTAGTTCCAGCACTAGCAGAATACAGGCTAATATAACTTTGGGAAACTAATCTAAAGAGATATTTAATAGTAAAAAAAAAGGCAGAAAATTAAAAAAAAAAAAAAAAAAATTGAAGAAAGATTATTTTCATATTGATTTTAGTTTCAAATTTAGCTAATTTTTAAGTTCCAGTTCAGAAGGACTTCTAGATACAGTTATCAACACACTTGAAAAATTACTGTATAATCATCAACTAAAGAAGATTCAGCTAAAATGCTTTGACAGAATCAACAGGTATGACAGGAAATACTGCACAATCTACTTGTCATTTTACTAGGCTACTTATTTAGTATAAACAAGAATAGAGCTGTAGTTTTAAAACAAATTAGAGGGGATTTTTTAGCTCTGAGCAGTAGTATTTGTATTTCTCAACCTATTAAAGTGACTTGGAACAAATATATACCTTCACCTTCAGGAAAAAGAAACAAATCATTATTTAATGTAATTATAAAGAGGACAACTGAGAACTATGAGACTATCTTAGGCAAGGATTTTGTAAAAAAATCCTTTTGTTCCATCCTTTGCAAATCATCTTCCATGATTCATCACATAACTCATTATTCAAGCCTTTTCCAGAGGAACTATCAGACTTATAAATTATTTAATGGTAACTCTGTGTTGAACATGTTTCTTTCCACTTCATACTACAGCATAATCCCATCTTGGTCTGGAAATAATAACTCAAACCTTCCTTGACAATCAGAGTAAATCACACTGAGATTTTTAATCAAGTAAAAGGTGGGTAAAGTTAAAAAGAACTGAAACTTCATCCAGAGCCTATAGAAATAGGGAATCACAGTAGTATTTCTCTTCTTTGTGCTTCCCTTTGAGCTGAACACATCAATCATGTCTTCAAAATAAAAAGGAGGAGAATTTTAAACAGCGAGGTTAACAGGTAAATCCAAGCAACTGCACCAACCTTTTAACTATTTACCAGATTTGCCTTGAATTGGGCTACATTTAAAGCTCAGATGTGAAGTGGAAAATACTATTCCTAGGGGGCACAGGGAACCCAATAACTTTCTTCTTCATGCTTAATAATCTTGTATGTGAGGGACCAATCTAATTTGTGGAAACGGATTGTACCTTAGGGATATGTTATTTCAACCCAAACTGAATATATTATTCATTCTAAAAAGCAGCAATAAAGATTATATAAGATGTAATTCATTATTTTTCTAAACGTTCCACCGTTCCACGGGGAGATGAGACTTAAATAGCTTACAGGAAGCCTACCTTAATTAGGTTGCTTTTCAAATCAAATATAATATAATTTTAACATAAAAAAAAAATGTCACTCAAGGGAAGCATTCCATTTACCAGGATGATTAATGAAATTTAAAGGGGAGAAAACCCACATAGCTCCATGGGTAATGAAAGATGTGGAGGAATCTGGGAGAGGGAAGGACACAGACGTGGACGTGTACAAATATGCTGTGAGCTATATACAGATATCCCTCTCATATTCATGCATTCCTGCACACACTCACGGAGAAAGGCAATTTGTTACCAGAGCAACCACGGTCAGTTGGCTTTTTTGTCCTCCATCAGAGTTGGTTTGCATTTCTGTTAACTCATTTTAGCCACAGAAGCTCAGAAAAAATGGTGGTATAAGCAGATTATTTTAAGATTTGTACTCGAGTTTACACTTGTAGGAAAAAAATGAAAAAAAATGAAAAAAAATGAAAAAATGAAAAAAAAGTAGCAGAAAATTTAAATATTTTTCTCAATGATTTACAAACAGTTCATTGTAAGACAGTGAAGGTATAACTGAGGTATAACCTCACTGATGCACATGCCATAGAAATAGACATTGCTTTTCTGTGCACAGGTAATCCTTCAGCATCTCAGATCCCAGGATGCAATCATTTCCATAAATATTGACTTTTAATGAGACTCCTGGTCAGTGATTTAATTTGGGGATGCCAATTCCACTGTCATTTCAGTAGCCGCAATAAAAGCTGAAATTCAAGTTCTAAAGACACTCAGTGCCAAGTTTTATAAACCCTCAAATAACCTTTAAGTGAAGGATTTGAGTTAGACAGCAGAATCTGAAACTTCTGGCCTTACCCTGTTTGCATCCCAGTTAACACTGTAGGAAACACTCCAGGAAAATTCAGGTATCAAGGATTTAAACATCATAGGGAGCCATGGTCCTGGGCTGGAAGATGATGGATATAATCCACACACAATTATTTTCCTTCCTATCAGTTGGAAGATGATGGATATAATCCACACACAATTATTTTCCTTCCTATCAGTCAAGAAACTCTTTGAAATGAAGAATATTTTGACTAAACAGAGAGTAAGGGAATAAAAAGGCATGAATTTATTGGGGTTTTTTCCCAATCCCTTTATTTCTTGGTTTGTTTTATTTTTGTTTGGCTTTGTTTTTTTCTGTTCTTTTTTTCTGTTCTGTTCTGTTTTACAGTAGTCTGGACAAGGATCACTCACATCTTCTCTATTAGAAACAGATCCATCCTGTAAGTCTGGTCTTTAAACAAAACAGACTAATGTATTTAATTAATTACTGTCTGTTCATCAGAGACACTTTTCCAGTAAATAAAAATCATATGATCTCCAGAGAAATGACATATATGAAGTGGTTAGGGGCTGCAAACAGTAATTTTCCTCATGAATGGCAATAGGGATTTTGTAATGTGATTTCACATAGAGCTCAGATATTTCAGTTTATAATGTTGAGATGTACTTCACTAGATCTATGAAAAAAAACATTATTAGTTTTTGGCTTGGTGAAAGACTACAATTTTTAATCAATTCTGGGTCAATCAATTTCTAGTTTGCTTAGAACAAACAACAGATGTTGTTTTGAGTCAAATAACCTTTGTTTTTAGCTATACACTTTAACCTAAAAAACAGCTATTTAGTTTTAGCCAGCTTTAGACGAGATGTTATTTCAAAATAACAATTATTTTTTTAAAAAAGAAACTCTTTATGCCTGTTTCTTTTCAAATTTTGAAACATATTTCTGGAATTTAGTTGGCTTCTTTTTTTGCATGGATAATCCAATGTATTTGCCAAATTAAAGAAAACCTACTCAGAAGTCTGTGTCAATCTTGGCAAAAAATGAAGTCAGCCTGGACATTTCACTCCAGTGCAGACATCTCTGTTTCATCTTCCACAGCTCAGTCCTTCCACACCTTCAAGAAGAGGAGGCTGCAGAAAGAAGCAAATGTGAAACCTTGAGAGACTTGGAAATAACCAGGACTCTCATGTTAATGAACAAAAGGCAATTAATCAGTTCCAGGCAGTAATTTGGAAGGCAAATAGGCAGAGAGGCAGATTGGCACCGTGGAGCCAGCCAGGGACCCCATGCTTTGGAGCATGATGGTCTCTGTGAGCACTCCTAGGCAGGTCTAAAATAAATTACAGCCTTTGTTGTGACTCACATTTGATGGGCTTAAGGATGTTTGACAGATGCCAGTCTTTTTCAGATGTTTTTTCACGTATCACATCTTCCCCATGTCTATCCTGCAGCCTTCTCTGAACTGTGTTAAGCAAATATGGAAAACACCAAATTAAGGGCTGTGGCATTTTGGACTCTTCTCACTGATCTCACAGGAAGAGTCCCTGACATCCTCCCCCAGCTGTCAGCACAGGGGAATGATCCTTTCCTGTAGATCCAGGGGGCTGGGACACAGAGCAGCCTCCTGGAGCCCACCACGAGCCCCTTGCAGGGCTGGGACCCCAAGAGGCTCAGCCAGCTCCTCTCCTCGGGCACTGAGGTCTTCATCACCCTTCGGGAGGAAGAAGGGCTCTGACACCAGCACAGAGAATTCTCCAGCAGCCACCTGGGCTCTTGTGCTGATCACAGGAAGCAAATCAGCTGCTGGTGAAGCTGCTGCTCCTTCACACACCACAGTGGTGTCCCCTGTGCTGGGGTGGACACGTCTCAAAGGCCACCGTGACCCTACTGCCCCTTCAGCTCCACGTTTTTCCTGTCCCTCCTAATGTTCTGCAGCTGGAATCCTGATATTCTTATCAGCCTGGAGTACTCTCAGAGGTCTCTGGCCTCTTTTCCAGCTCCCATTCTGTTGTCAGGGTCACAGCACATCCGTTGTGCTTCTTGCAGGCACCAGGTTACAGCTTAATAACAACACAAATACTTGGAACTACATATGGGGGTTTCTATTTTCCACATTCAGAGGAGTTATTTAGGATTCTGCTATGGTCACTGCAGTTTAGGTAAGTGGGGGTCACCAAGGAATAAGGAGAGGAAAATAAAAGAGAATTTCTGGAAGAAATATTTTTCAAAGGAAAGGAAAGATTTCAGTTGTCGGGTTTTATTTCCTATGATTTTACAGGCTGCGCTTTGATTTTCTGTGCAAGAAACAGTCTGCCTGTCTTATCTGTGAAATAAGATAAGGGCACATCACATCATAGTATTTTGAACCAACTCTTAGCCTTAGACTCTGTTCTAAGGTCTCATTATTCCCAGAGGATATAGATAGAAATGTCTGTCTCGGGCACAATTTTTTTTCCCCTTCAAATTATATGACAAGTCTTTAAGAGAAGTTATTTGTCCATTATGCTACAATATGTCTGGGAAAGGTATCCATCATGACTGAGGAAAAATCATTCATTTTCAGACCTGTCAGTCTGAGCAGACAGAACAGGGAGCATCTCAGCATGGAAAAATAGAGGCAGCTCATCCCCCATTAAAGTTTAGCACTGTTGAGGCACCTCTGACATCCAGAGCTCGTTCTTCCTTCCCAGCAGTTCCTTTCACTTTTCCAACAGGAAGTTTGTGCTTCCAGCTGGAGTGCAGATATTTTAACTCTGATAGCAGCAGAGTGCTGACAAGGGATGGGGAAGCTCCAGTGCATCCTCAGCCTGCATTTCTGCTGGGCAGGAAAACAGCAGAGACTCCCAGTTAATCCCAGTTTGTGGTGAGGTAAGGAGGGGTCAGCACAAAAATTTGGGATAGAGGTTAATAAACAGTATTGGGCAGCAAAATTCTGGTGTTTTGGAAGGCATAGACCTGCCCCATGATGTGATGATGGTGTTAAATGTTTCTCACACAGAGGTTTTACATCAGATTCCAGGAGTTCACAGACATAACAGCGCTGTCAGGAAGCAAGCTATGATCATAAAAGCTCCATTAACCCCTTCTGTAACTGGGATTTCTGCATGCATGCTTAGATCAGATTGCACAACAAAAAGAAAAAAAACAACAAAACTACAAACAAACCAAAAAAAAAAACCAACTGAAAATTCTGCAGGTTTTAATGAGAAACCCAGTTGTGCAGGTTAGTTAGAAATAGAAATTGTGTTAACATCAGTTAATGGGCAATCATGGTATTTTAAAATGTTCATTTGCAGATTGTTCCACACATAATGACAAGACAGGAAATAATTATCCAAGTCCTTAATCCTAACCCTCGATAAATTAGGATTCTCCCTCTGCTGCAATTTCTCACCCAGCACCAAAAGGCCACAGTGGTGACAGGAAAAATTCCTACTGATGGTGGATTGATTCCACAGTATGAATATCTGAAAGAAGACAAGAAAAAGGAAAAGAATTAGCCAAACCTGAGTTAGATCTTCCAAACTATAGCAACAGAAACATCAGCCTTCATGCTCCACTTATTATGGGAATGGAAAAATTCCCAATAAATCTGGACTGCAATTCATAAATACAACTTAATTTAGTTTATCCTAAAGTAGTGGACACTAGAAAAAAAATCAAGAAAACAAAAGTAAAAAGAAAGCAAGCTTGAATTAAAAAAAAATGTCACAAAAAAAAACTTGTACAACAAAACAAATTGTATGTGTAATTGTGTTTTGACCATGTTCTTATTATCCACCAAAAATCTTGTGTTTGAGTATAGATATTGTACAATTACTTTCAACATTTGGCATAATTATTTTGATTTTAACTGCTATTCATTCTGAGAGAAAAATACAGTGGATAATACCAGATAACAAAGGGAGCATTTATGAGTAATGATGCTGCTCAACAAACCCATTGTCATTCTCCCATTTAATGGTTATGTTCCGTGTGTGGCCCAAATTATGTGGCAATTCCTAAAATAATGATACAGCTGTGGTAACTCTGCAATCCCTGAAAAGCACAGCAGAGAGTTTAAATAAAAAAAAACAAAACTCCTGTGTGTCACCTGTCTGTATCTAAATGTTACATTAGTAACATTTCAAATAGAAAAAAAACACCATTAAGCTTTTATTTCACATCAGGTGCCACCCAATTCACCTAATTTTAGCCACCAGAAAGTGGAGTCTAATCCTAAAATATCAATTTATTGTACCATCAATTACCAGGAGATAATTAATTCCCTCTCAAAAGGTAGAGGCTGGATTGTTCTCTGGGGACACCTTCACTTCCAGACAAGTTTTCCAGACTTGGCACCAAACAGAAGCACAAATATTGCTGTGATTCTCTGTGCCATTTGACTTCCCTCTAACCAACAGCAACCTCAATTACTCAAAGAATTGGAAGTCTCAGAAAACCCTCTGAAAACCTCCAATAGGACAGAAAAAAAGCCCAGCAGAGCACTGATACCCAGCACAGCATTGATTACAGGAAGTTTTTCTTTCTCAGATTGTTCATTCTTAAGGTCTATCACTCCAGTTAACTCTGAAGTGAATTTAAAGCGTTGATATATATTCATAATGAGCATTAAAACCCTTCTTAACTCACTGCATTTCTGCACAAGAGCTCCAGCTTCCTGAGCACAGTGTGTGGCCTTCACTCTGAAGTGTGCATCACTGTGCAGATCAGTATTCACTTGTGACCATTTAATTAAGAGCCCCAGGCCATTCTCCAGACCAGATGTGGCAGAAGGAAGGAGGAAGATTAATGGAGTTGTGGCTTGTCCCCTGAGGAAGGATGGGCTGGAGCAGGAACAGCTCCCTTGGATATCCCTGCTGAGCAGCCTCCTCACTCAGGTCACCAGCTGAACCCACCCCTTGCTCTGTGCTGATATCTCATCATTCCCATCACTCCTTAACTCAGAAATATCTCACCATTTGCAAACTTTGCATATTCTCTCTCTGTCTCCAGCAAATATCAACTACCCAGCAACATCCCAGGGCTTTCTTTTCTATTATTTCTTTACTATTATTTCTTTTCTATTATTTCTTTTTCTATTATTTCTTTTCTATTATTTCTATTCCATTAGCAACTTAAAATTGTTTTCTGTGAGGGAGGCACTTCTAAACTTAATCTGCAAAAATACCCTGTTAATCCCTTTAATCAGTTTGCAATGACAAAGCTGGAGAAATCCAGACATCAAAATGCTGATTCTTCTGCCCAGGCCTGCAGGTTTGTCAGGATGGAGCACCACAAAAAGTTTGAGAAGACAAATTGCACAAAACCAGACATGTAATATGAGCATTGTAATAATTAGCTGCCTTAAAGTCTCAATTGTTCTTTTATTTTGCTTACAATCAATAGCAATCCATTCAGTCTGTAGCTCCCAAGTCATGATTTTTACTTTATCCAACACTGGGGCAATTTTATAGCCTGAATTTTTTGTGCAACTCTTCCTTTAAGTGTTGGTGTTAATTGTGGCTCAGGACACCACAGTCAGTCCTTCTCTGCCTCCTCTCACGTCCCCTAGACTAGACGATTACAAATTGTACTTCTGGTAAATGCAACTTCCTCATCTCCCCAGTTATAGTTGACATTTTTATTTCTCCAGGGCTGGAAAGAGCTTCTTGATTTCAAATCCTGGTATGACTTTTATTTCTTACACTGGTCTTACAAAGTTATTTTTAACCCAAACACTCTTTATTTTGAAAAGCCTTCCTTTTTACTTATTTCTCTACAGTATCTATTCACTATTGATACTGCTATTATATTTTTTCTTCCCCTTCGTAGCTGCTTAGAACCTTTTAAATAGTAACTTGTGTTTACTATCTGTTTTCTGTTTTTATATCCCTTATTCTGTTTTATTGCTGTTCTCCTGTGTCCTTTCTCACCCAGGTGACTGCCTGACACACTGGAGCTTTATTTAGAGAACAATATAGCGGATAAAAGATGTGTTAAATTTAATTATTTCCAATCCCTATAATTTACAATATCATAAGTATTATATATTTATTTAAGTATTAAGTATTAAGTATTATTTATATCTATTGGAGCAAATATTCCAGCTGCTTTAAAAAGTTCAGGATTCCTGCTCCTTTTGTTGATTAAGACAAGCAGCCCTCAGTGGCTTGGCAGGCACAAAATCAATACAACTTCACCCATTTTGGGGGCAGACTGAGGCTCTCCCATCTGGGTGAAATGATGGGATACCACACGTGGCTTCAGAGCTGCAGGATCCACGGGTTTGCTTCATCCTGCTGGAGCAACTTGCTTAAGTATGGGTCTGCAAATAATTCTTGACTTCGGTTTTTAATTTAATTCCTTAAAAATAGCTTGCTTAATAAAGTAGCAGAGATTAAACATATTGGACAGAGTGATTTTTATGGGAAAAAATAAATGCCTCTCGTGTAAGTGACAAACCAGTACACTGCAAAAATAAATAAGACTAAAGATAAAAATACTAAGGCGGGGAAAAAAAGGATATTTTGCCAGTGGTGAACCAGTCTCTTAAAAAGAAAAATCTCTGGGAGAGGAGCTGTCCATTAGTCTGTTCTCCACTGCCATTTGTGTGAGAGCTGAGTGGACGGGATGGCTGCGAGAGCTCCTGAACCCCCTTCCCTCTTTCCTTTCTTTAATACTCCTTTTTTTGTTCATTTCTTTAATACTCCTCTTACAACTGCTGGCAGAGCCTGGTGCTCTCACACTCTGGTTCCTGCTCCACGCTCACCTGGGTTTAAGTGGTGCTGGAGAGGAGGAACGGACGGCAGAGCAGCAGCGGGGGCAGGACTGGAGCGAGATCCTGGAGGGGAGAGAAGCTTCACAGCTGTTAAATTGTTTTTCTCCCTACAACAGAAGCGATAAGACCTGGCTTTATCTGAATGCTCCCTGGACCAATTGTTTTTCCTCTCACTGTCCTCACAGCACCTCTACACAACTCCAAAGTCAGGTGCTTTAAGTCCTGGAAACTTTCTGCCGTTTAAGACATGAGCGGCTTTGGGGAGGCTACAAAATAAAATTAAAGGCAGAATTTAATCTTCATTGTTTTGCTGTGGTTGGAGCTTCACGGTGCAGTGACCTTTGTATAAATCCAAGGTTTAATTCTGTACAATTACAAGCCACTTCCTAGCCAGGTTTTCCCATGTTCTGCATGGCACAGACAAACTCCTCCACCGAGCCAAAAAAATCCCCCAAGCAGTACATACATATAAATAGACTCGAATTTCTTTAATGCAGGCATCATAATTTAGTTGATATTTCACTGCAAAACTTTGTGCCAGACGTGAAGACATCTTCATCCATAATGATCAAGCCCAAAATAAAGGGAGATAAATTGTGTTTGACAATATTAAGCTTGCACACATCTCTCTCTTCCTTTACTCAGTTTAAAAGAGATTCTTTGCACAAGCCTTGCAATTTATTTTTCCTGGGAAGAGAGCAGAAAAGATGCAGTGAGGAAGTCATTATATGCAATAACTAGTGTGGGATTCCCATATGTAAAAGTACTCTGAAATTCAGCTCTTTATAAATCAGAGTATCAGTAATTTCTAATTCTTGTTTGGATTTTACCCGAATCCATTTCCTGTCCTTCCAACACTTAATGTGGTATAAGCTTTATTAAAGTCACTTTTGGAAGCATTTGAATTTGAACACAAAGTCCCTTAATAATAATTATCTGATACAACACATGAATATTGAATATGAATATGATGCTACTCGATACTTCAGTTGCCTCGTTACTTTAGAAGCCATTTAAATATGATGTAAGCCTTGAAATGAATTAATCATACAGTCATGCTTAGGTAACAACATCTTATATATAAGAAGGCAAGAAAAATCTGCTCCACACAGATTAGAGGGCTGAGAGTTAATTGTGCTCCAGTGACTGCTGTGCAACACAGCAATATCCAAACTCATTTTAACCCTTCTTCTTACTGGTAAAATTGTGTAGAGCAGCTTAAACTCAGAAAAGGCTCTGCTGCTCTGAAAAATGAGAAATGTTCTAACCCCCATCTGATATTTCTAAAATAAAACCATTATTTCTAACCTTTTCCAGGAGGACTGGGGGAGTGCAGCACTGTCCAGTCAGAGCTTAGCTTAGAGGCTGCAGGGTTTGAGGGCACTTTCTTTCCAGGGCCTTTGAAACACAGCAAGAAATGGAAGCAAAAAATGGGTTTTAAGGGCATCTTTTTGCTGTCAGCTGGAGGACAGACTGGATAAGAATGTCAGTTGAGTATTTGTCGTTTTCTCCTGAATATCAAGTCCCACAGGTCTGTGAGAACCTTGTGTACTCACATAAGTTTATTTCATAGACTCAAAGGATGGTTCGGGTTGGAAGAGACCTTAAAAATCATCTCATTCCAATTATTTTTTTTTATCTTTTTTTCATATTTCTCCACTTTTTGCTTGTCCTGTCAGGATATGAAAGGCCTGAAAGCTGCCTTGTTTCTGCAGACTTTTTGACAGAGCTGTTCTCTATAAAGCTTTTCAGAGCTGGATGGAGGCTCGAGTAAAAGCCAAAAGGCATTTGAAGGAAATGTCCTATGGAAAGAGACTGCCCAGGCCTGGGATAATGGAAAGAACAATGTGATTTTGACAACTACAGGGGAAGCAAAGGGGAGAAAAATCAAAAGGAGGTGAAGTGGGTCCTTAGGCAGCTGCTTTTTGTTGTTGTTTTCCATTTGTCCAGAAAGACTGGGCTGGCAGGCAGCAGTCAGAGGGCCCTGGTAGGCTGGAAGTTGAGAAATGGAACTGATTTTTACTCAGAGTTTCTCTTCTTCCCAGTACACTGATTCCAGCTACTCAAAACCTGAATCAAACTTATTTGAAATTTCTGTCAAGGTCTGTCCCTCTCTGCTCTGCATCTGCCAGCTCCCCTGTTTCAGTGTTTCTCCAAACAAACAAATGGCTTGCAGGATTATATTAAATTATCTATTGACATGGAGCCTAACAAAAATTAAATAATACATCATATGAAATTCAGCAGCTCTGTACCTGAACAAACCTATATCACTCAGGGCAACTTGCAAAACTGTCTCAAATATTTGCTAAAACAGGGTGAGAAAGGCATTTAATAAAAAAAAAAATAAATCAGATCTCTGTTTATCATTGTTGCATTTCTTTATTGCAAATATTTAACCTTTGCACAGTCATAGACTGTTCAATCCATATTTTCTACAAGTACAATGAAAATTAAATAATATTAAGATATACTAATTATAAAAGGCACAACCACCACTCACCAGCAAATTGTAATTCCCTATACTCATTCTAGCTGCAGAACTACATTTTTTTTAAAATATCACTCATACCCATGAACTGTGTCAAGACAAAGATATTGTATTTTACAGGGAAATCATTATTTAGCAAGAAAATGTTTGTCTTGATTGAGATACAGGATTTCATTCCCTTGACTATCTCTCTCTCTCTCTCTTGTCATGAATTCCATTGGAGGCTTAAGAAGATTAGTTTCTGGTTTAGGCACCAAAAGCTCCTGGAGTTAGATGGTGCAACTCCCTCTTTATGTACCAAACAGGCTGAACTAAACACATTGAACCACACTTCCTTTTCATCTACAAATGTGGACTTAATGAGCTGTAATGAATTTCCAGTATTCAAATTAAATTAAGTCACTATTTTATTTTTCTGTTTCACCCATAAAATGACAGTCCGTGTTTGGATTAAAAACAAAAAGAAAAGAAAAGTGAAAGTGGCATTTCCCATCTTTTTAAGCTGTTATCTTCATTGCTGAGGCTGGCAAGAGTGTAGAAAGCATTTGGACTGTTGAAATCCTTGCTATTTTTCCATATGGATTGCCAGCAGCAGTTATAGCACTCCCCATTCCATTTTACCAAACTGACTCTCTAAACAGAATTAAGGGCATTTCCCCTCTGGAAGGCACAGGAAAACGAGCAAGCAGACACTTGTATAAATACAGAAAACCCAGAGGAAGCAGTGGGTGAAGAGCAAACCCCGAGCTGTGCAGGGGCAGGGTGGTTTTTGCGCAGAGCAGCATCAACAGCGCTCAGCTCCGCGCTCCTCGCCCAGAGCCCGTCAGCCCCTCCTGAAATCCGCCGTATTTCAGGTGCTGTCTCTGCTTGCCTTGACACAAGCCAATGATTTGTGTCCCACTCAATTTAGCTCATGTGAGAATCCTCCAAGCCTCTGCCATGTGTCAGGGGCTGATAATTGCATTGATCCCCCGGCCGTGGGCTCAGCCAGGGCGCTCTGCTGAGGACAGCGAGCTGGGCACGGCTCTTGTTAGAATTACTAAATTTGTCTCTTTGGCTGGTTTGATACCAATCAGCCTTGGCAGAGCGATGCATAAAATAGGGAGTGCTAAATGTGCCAATAAATGAATTACTTTTCAGATTATGTTTCCGGTGGAGATATTGATGAGTGGGCTTTGTGAGCTGAATGGAGCAGGTTGCTGCTTTCTATTTCCTATTGAACAGGTGAATGTATACTGATAAAATGAAGAAAAAAACCCTGTTCATCTGAAGACTTTTTAAAAAATAAGTTTGGGTGGTTTTGGGGTTTTTTTGTCTTTTTTTTTGGTTTTTTTGTGGTTTTTGTTGTTGTTTTTTGTTTTTTTTAAAGAGCACCACGGTTGTTTCTAACAATAATTTTCACTCTTCTCTTTAACATTCTCCTCAGGAAAGAACTCTGAGGGAAAAGACCTCTCCTTATGACAATGAATATACAAAAACAAAGTTTAGAAAACAAACTAAAGGCAAAGCTTCTGGAAATACAGCCAGATTACCAACATTTTGGGGTACAAGACCACTGCTAGCTGATCCTGCCATCAGAGCCTAGTTACTTGTTTATTTAAATTGCTTTTTGAGATATTCTAGTTATCAACTTCCTTGGCTATCTCCCTGAAAATCTTTATTTAAAAGCCCCAAATATCCAAATATAACAACACCAGCAGGTGATTAAACCATCAGTGTTCAATCCCTCATTTATCATATAAGGACACTCACATTAAGACCCCTAATTTGAACAGCGACAACTTCTCATAATTCTCGTGTCTCTCTTGTTTCTTCTCTAATATTCCTCTCAAGCTCATTGCCTCTGAATCTGAGGAAATATAGGTGCAAGCTGAGAGATTCACAGCTCCTTTTTACAGCTCCCTCTGAGCGCCCAGAGCTACAAAGAGCTTTCTGAAAGGTGCAGATGTTCAGCACCTGTTGAGGAGCACTGCCAGGAGGATCGTGTTTGCAGCTTGCCAAGCAGCCACCAGCATCTGCAGGACTTATGGAGGTGTTTAAATCCCTCGTGCTTTGATTCCTCAAGTTTTGGACAAAACCCGGCGTTCCGCATCATAAATGTTGCAAAAAATCTAGTTTTAGTGGTAGTCTCACTGTTGTTCTAGCCAAATTTTGCCAGTTTGGTTTGCTTTGCTGAGCACAGATACGAGGAAATTGAATCAATAGATTAAACGGGGTGGTTTTGAAAGAAAAATGTTATTTAGAGTCAGCAGAAGTACAGGTTTGAAAGGGACCCTATCCATAATCACCCAAACTTGTAAATCATAATTGAAAGCCAAACACATGAGACTATTCCCCACCCACTTATAAATGCATTTTAAAAGACTAATGTTTAAGAACAAAAAAAAAAAACAAACCACATAATTACTCTGTAGGCAGAAAAGGAAATGAAAAACATATTCAAAATCATTTATGGATGTTTTAACTGCTTTAGTAATTTTTTTGCTTGATATAGTTTATTTTTAAAACTCAGTCAAGGTAACTGGGGGAGAAAAGTGGGTTCTCATATTCATATTTTCATATTCATATTCTCATGTTGTTCAGTGGTGAGAGTGCCAACCACTGTCATGTTTTCTACACTCAAATAAGTGAGATTCCAGGACTGCAAGGATATCAGAAATATTAATTTGTTGAATCTGCCATTGGACAGATATTTTCAACAAAAATTGCATATATGAAAGTAATAAAGATCTAGATGCAAATCCTGACTGTTGAAAAACATGACCATTAATTAATAAGTTAAGAGCTGTGAGCCTCTTCTTTGGGGAAAAAAAACAACAGTGGGTGTATCAGCATGGATTCATTGGCAGGAAATTACATTTCTAAGAGGAAGAAATTAGGATAACCATAAATCCTATGGCTTGTTAATTCACCAGCACAGCAGGATTAGCTTAAATAGCAATGAGTGAGCACATGTTGAATCGATGGAACTGGGAAGGAGTTTCAGTGTTTACTCACCTCCAGGTGATAGGTGGAAGTTTCAGCTAAAAACCAAGGCAGGTTTTCAGGTGGAGGCTGATGGAACACGTACTGAAATGAGAAGAAAAAATTCAGTTTAAATTTCCTTCAATGGACAGTCATGAATTACAGATCTTAAAGAATTAGTTGTGGTGAATCAGATGCTTACTTTATCCATAGATTTTAGATTCTATGTGGAAACATGGACAATTCTGATGGTAAAGCACAAGACACTGATTTTTTCCCTTCTCTGGTTCACTTTTTAAGTGGTAGGCACACATCCTGTATTGTAGGATTGATTACTGGGCTGAATTCAGTAATTAAAAAAAAAATACACAAAGGTTGCATTGAAATGAAGGTACTTAAGATTCATTGAATTCAGCACCTTGCTCCTCTCACAAAATCTTTGCAGGGCAACGAGCAAACCTCAGGAGATTCTAGCCAGGCTGTGCTCAGGGTTAGGTTCTGACTATTTGCCCTGCTGGGTGATTTCAGCCATGCCACACATTTCATTATTCCATGCTCAGGATGGATATTTGGGTTCCCAATCGACTCTCAAGCCTCCTGTGTTACTCCAGTGCCTGAGGAATTGTGCACAGGCATCCAGTGAGGGCTTCCTTGGCTTGTTGAGTGAGTGTTTGGCACAGAGCTCCATCCTGCCCAAATGGTTCCTGGAGAGCTGCATCCAACAGAGAGCAGTCAGTCAACAGCTTTGGAGCTCCCAAAATAGCCAGCAAAATCAGGTCCAAGGCACAAACACAGCCTGCTCTTGCATCAGAGACATGAGACAAAGAGATCCTTAATCTAGCTAGACAAAGAGGAGGAATTAGATCAAGAAATCCTTATGTTCCATCTACACTGGTTTTTTCTTTGTATCTTCATCCACATGACCTTGGTGCGTTAATTTTCTTGAATTTATTCCCCTTGTTGCTGCTCTATTCATCAGGCACAATTGGTGGCTTCACTGCTTCCAATTAAAAATCAACAACAACAAAAAAAAGTTTTAACTGCTTAAAATTTCTAATAAGAGAGAAAAGGGAAAAAAAGAAAATGTGGTATGCATAAGCTGATAAAAAAGCAGGATGTGACATGCAGGACTTTGCAGAACTTGTCCTGCAAGCACCACTTCAGCTTCCAAAGAGTAAATCATTCCCAGGAGGGAAGCACACATGAACAGTAGCTTGGCACTATTAGGTTGGCTGTCTAAATAAAAATAGTTTCTGCCTTTAAAGGCTTAAAAAGGACTTTGTTTGTGTGTGTAAGCAGAAAATCTGGGATCTTTACAAACAAATGATGGTAGCTACCATTGTATAGCATTTTTATTTATGGAATTCAGAATATTCCAGTTTCAGAGTCTAAAATATACGTATAAAATATGTACATTTTCTCCAAGGAAGAAGAGAGTTTTCCATGGGCAAGCACTAAGACTCTTTCTGTTCTAGTATCGAAGCTGGTTTAGAATCTTTGGCTGACCACTAAAAACATGCATCAGTCAGTTTTGAATCTTAAAGACCTTCTATTTATTGCATGTAATTAAATGTCTCCATTATTACTTCATGAGAAAGATCTGTACATTGCTACAGAGAACAGCTTCAAGTCACTGATCTGAACTTATCCATGTGCAGAACTTTATGAAGGAATGCACTGTCTGTAATGAAAAATGTTCATTAAAAATAATAAATAAATGGCCCCAGAAGCTCAAAAAGAGTACTTAGCCAAAAATAACAAGAAACTGTAAAAAAACCCCATAAATTTAGGAAAAGATCTGGTTCTGTCAATCAAATGTGTTACCCAGAAAACCACAATGAAACCCCACAGACTACAAAGCCTTGAAGGCCCTGGTGCTGGGTCTGCTCCATCTTCTCTGATTCTCTTGGTTACCAATACAGAAAATATTTCCACTCTCACAGTTCCCTGCCAGATCCTTCTCCATTGCACGTGCCACCCTCCTTCAGTCTGCTTGTCCTCCCTAAATAATGTTTAACATGTCAGTTTTAAATGACTGAGTGCAATATTCGTGTCCTTCCCTGGGACAGCACACAGGAAATTGTGGTGTTCCATGGAAATGCACCAAATATAATAAATATGACAGGTATCACCAGGAGCTTCTCTCTTCACGCTGCTCTCAGCTCTCACAGCTTTGGTGGAAAGGATGGCTGGGAACAGTGGGAATTGCTCATCACTTCACTGGACCAAGAACGACACCAAGAACTTGTTCAGTTGTTTTTTTTTCTCTGAATTCTTGAGTTTTGGCTGCATTCTCACAACTGTATTTAATTTCTGTTATCCATATTTTTTTTAGGTAATGAGAAAAATACACTGTTTTTAAAATCCTTCATTCCTAGTGAGAAACTGCTCTTATAAGAATTCAAGCTGAACTCCTACCAGTCTTTGTTCATGCTTCGCTCAGAGAGTAATTTGGATTCCGAGTTACAGGGAGACATGAATTACCATGACCCTCTGGTTCATATTATTTTTTGAGGATTGAGCTGTGATGAGCTGGGGAGTGCATAATTTATGAGCTCCAGCTTCAGTGTGAGCTCCAGATTTAATAACCAGCTCCAGCCTGATGTGTCTCCTGCCCCGCTGCCGCTTCCACCAGCGGCTGTGGGATGGACTGGGAGGCAGCAGCCTCTCCACTTATCAGAGTCAGTCAGCCAGAGCACAATCGCTCCTGCCAGGGAGCTGAAATCATTTTCAAGTATAAAATCCTTGCTGAGAATTCTCCCACGAGTTCTGGTGTTTGGGGTTTCTTTTCACCCTGCTCGATACTCTCCGAATCTTCCATCCCTCTCTGAGGGGAAGGAGTGGGAATGATCCTGCACACCCCACTTTGTTGTCAGGAGGAGTTTCAGAGTGGGGAACACATTGAATTCACTGTTCCCAAGGAAAAGGTTTAGGGGTACAGCCTTGGGATAAGGCAGCTCCCTGTTTTTTATGTAGAAATCCCTGCTCTGGGTTTGGAAATCTTTCCCTGCATTGACAGAAGGTCAGCTGGATTTGGATTCCTCTCTGGAAACCAAATAATAAAAATAAGGTGCTACAAGGATTCTTGTTGATCAAAATAAGCCTGAAGAATAAAAGCTTGGACATATTTCCATGCAGAGTAACAAGGAAGATAGAGTAACAAGATAACAAGGAAGACAGCAGAGAGCAAAGAATTATTGGGATGTTGGGATTTGGTTTGATTGGGTCAGACCACTTCGTTTTTTATGCAATCTAAAATGGTATTTTAGTAAATAATTATAGTATTAGTATACTATTTATAAATATTATAATATAAAGTATAATTATATATTATAAATTTAAATATATAAAAATATTACTATATTTAAATATATAATAAAATGCTATTATATTTATTAATACTGTATTATTAATAATATATTGTAATATATTTTATATTATTAATAGTATATATTATAACTTGATATGCATATTATAAATATATATTAGATATTTAAAGTATATAATATAAATAATATAATATAAAGTATAAAGATTTAGTATAATAAATAGTAACTTTATATAGATTTTTAGTCATCAGCTATTGCTGAAGAAGTGAATTAATTACAAAGGGAAAGGGAATTTTAATTATAATAATTATAAAAGGAAAGGGAAATGCTGTGTTTAGCATTTGGACAGGCTGAAATGCTGGCACGTGTCACTGAATTGTGGCAACTTCTCTTTGGAGAGGGTGGCCACCAGAAAAATTACCCAAAATATGCTTGAAAATGAGAATCTGAAGAATCCCATTTGCATTAAAGCACAGAAGAACACCAAAGAAGTCAGATGAAAATCCACCAAGGGAAACATAACCAGCAGTCTGAGAAAATAATTGGACAACAATAAATAAATGTGGTTTTGTTGTTTGTGTCTCCTTGAGCTTTCTTTGACTCATCTTAGCATTCACTGAATTTTGAGTCACAAGTTATAAATAAATTGTATTTATTTAAGAGATTTTCTAGACCTGTAAGAGCAGCTCTTCAGTTTTAGTTTACATTGAATCCAGATTACTTGGGGCATTTTTTAATGGGAAAAAAAAAAACCCCTCAATATTTTAAACTGCTTCAGTGATGATTTCACTCAGATTAGAATGCAGGAGATTCTGCAATGAAAAAGAGAAAGCTAATAAGAAAAATTGTAAGAGAAGAGGAACCAGATTGTCCTTTATCTTACACCAGTTTATGCTGTTGAAGTTAAAGAAATCTGAGCAGTGAAATGAAATGATGAATCAGACCCAGTGCCTTTCTCCATTGCAAATTTAATGTTACGGAAAATGATATTAAAGTATAATACCCCTACTTTAGGGCTTACCAGAAAATGACTCATGATAAACAGAGTGCGTTTGCAGAAATGGCATTAAAAAATAAATTTAGCTTCTCTCTCAGGCTCATTCAATATTTCAGGGTATAATTTAAGTACACATCCTTCATTGTGTTCAAAAATTCTTCCTTGGGAGTGGGAATTCAGAACTTTAATGGTAACTTAGACATTCATGCATAAAGTTATCAACAGAACTTGAAGTGAAACTGAACATTTCTGAATACAGAAGCAAGGTAACACGAGGAAAGGCATGTTTTCCTTTCCCAAATTGCCTTTGAGTAAGGCAATTTAAGTGACATGAAAGATAGTTTAGCTTTTAAAAACTGCATTTAAGTGCCCATTCACCTTGATATCGAAAGCATTTTTATTGACTTGAACCTGTGTGAGTTCTTTCAGATGAATTACCAGATCAAATAAATAAATAAACATTAGACTCTCAGAGAAAGTAACTGGGAGAACTGACCCCCAGACAGAAGCTTGCCTTGAACAAACCAAATGGCAATGAGGAGAAACCCATTTTTCTCAAGAAAATACCTAAACTCTCCCAAAAGTGAGACAAAATAAAATCCCAAACCCTTTTTGGCTGAAGGCTGCAAGGTTAAGTTGGTCTTCCTGGGTATTTGGGGATGACATGTTCTGTTTTATGGTGAGATAGACTCTTTTATGGACCTCAGCTAAATGAAGTAATAAAAACTTCTGCTTTCCCAAACTATCATATCAAGGATATTGCTTTGTACTTGCAGCCCTAAGAATATGTATTGCCAAGATTTAGAGAGTTCAGTGCTTTTGTAAAGCCTCTGTCACCATCTCAAAAGAGAAGACTTAGGTAAAACTATCTAGGATACCTTAAAAAAAAAAAATACACTAAAATCAATGCACATTAAATTAAATTTATGTCAGCCAAAGCATAAAAGCATAGGAACTATTTTCTACCATCACTAATGTCTGTTTCAGAAATATTTTTTCTTTCCTTTCTTTTCTTTTAAAAATCAAATTTTATTAATTTGGAGAAGGAGTTCTTCAGCCCTGCAGAGTCACAGTTCAACTGATACATTCAGGCTGGAACAGTGGAAAGAAAATCAAGCCATGCAAACACTTGCAGAGGTCACTCCATCACTGTCCAAAGCCACTGTCCCATGCACTGTGCTGGGGAAGCGTCTGCAGCAGAAGAGAATTTCTCTGGAGGTCACAGCCCATCCCAGAGCAGCGTTTTGGGGATGTCCCCACTGCCAGCACCAGCCAGGAGAGCAAAGGTTCACTGCAGGTTCCTCTGGTGTTCGTCCTGCCCCCACCACTGCCCCAGGCAGCCTCAGGAGCAGAGCCTGAGCGATGCTCTCAGCCTTGCTCCTGGAACTGTTTCCCCACATCAACTGCACAGATTTTATAAAACAAGCCCACAGCAAGACATTTCCATGACAACACGCTGCAGCAACTAAACTCAGCCTTGGAACCAGCTCTCGTTTTAGTTCTTAAAATCTAAAAGTGTCTCTAGGCTGTAGTGGTCTGACCACAAGCGTCAGTGCTCCAAGATGCATTGTTAGAAATGGCACAGGGAACATTGAACCCCCAAGTGCAACAGCTCCAGTGCTTTGCAATTATTCTTACCTTTGATGTTAATTTTGATCCCTTTTTTCTGGAGCCCCAGTGCTGACTGATCCAGCAAGCAATGCCACCTGCAGCTGAGCTCTGTTCTGCAGCACTGGCAGGGGTGTGAACCAACAGAGCTCTTATTGCTGCTTTTCCTCCATCTGTACACAATTCTTTTTTGTTTCTGTGATTCCACAAGCCCTCTGCAAGGGGAGAACACATCTCTCCTGGAGTCAGGTGCAAGGTAATAAAGCAGAACTCACCCCTCTGCAGCGTTACATGGATTCCTTTTGTGTTTCTCTCTCTTGCCAATACCGTGTTGGCTCAATGCCTCGAGAAGAAAGGCACGGGGAGCAAGTGTTGTCATGGATCTCAGAGCAAGAGCTGGGTGATTGCAGCCATTCTGTGGGATGGGAAGGTAACAACCACATTTCTACCACACACTCAGAGAAAAACCTGTTTGCCTGGTGTTAAACTGCTGCCTAATTAGAAAAAATGCTGAAATAACATTTTTTTTCCTTAACATTCAAAACTACATTTCAGGTTTTATAGAAAAATAAAGTGTATAGTGCAAACTCACTGTTCTCTGGGGTGAAACCTTTTCTTACTCCAAACCCTATGTCCTAGTTTAGGGCAAATTTGGGAGAGAACCTCTAAATGGGGTTCTGCCACAGACACCCCAAAGATTTTATGGTTTGGGTTTTTTATGACTCTGTTTAGCTGAAAAAAACTTTCCTAAGTGGTAAGAACTCCCTAGACAATGGCAGATGTCCCTGAATATACTGACTAACATGATTAATAGATAGATTTATCTGATTGCAGATACCAATCAGGACTCACAAAGCTTTGAATTCTGGCTAAATTGCTGGATTGCTATACAGAATGTAGACTGAGAGTTTAAATGCTTTGTACATTTCTTATAAGAACTATCCCTTTCTGGTTAATTCATACCCTGATCAAATAATTATTTTGTTTCAGTATAAAAATCACAGAAGCATTAATCAAAAGTCTTCAGTTAATAATAAAAGAGAAGACAAAAGCCACTGGAATGATAAAGAGTTTTGTGCAAAGTCTAAAAGGATTTTAAAAGAAGTCAAATGTTTGATGTATTTTTTAAAAAAACACCTTTCTTGATTTGAGTCAATATTAATCTCTAATTGATGAAATAAATGCTGCTGCTGTTTCTCTTTGAAATGAATGGACACAAAAACATTCAAAAGGAATCCTTTATAGACATCACATGTGGCCACATCAGAAACCTTAGGAAGTTAAACTACATCAGAGTAAGAGCATTAATAGTGGCCTGAAATAGAGGCATTGATCTGTTGAAACTGAATGTAGACCAAATACCAAAAGAAAATCATGCCAAAATTATTTCCTTTTTGAAAAATATGATCAATTAATAAAAAGAAACTATTCTATTTTAAAAAAATAAAAATCCTTTTTAGTTATATTTCTTTAAATTTTCCATTCTCTATAAACACTAAAATTCTGCTGTAAGAGTATTCTGAGTGCTGTTAAAAATACTGAACAAATCCTTATTCTAGATGGCAGAAAAAGCTTGTATTAACAGAAATTGAGTTATAGTCAAAATTTCTGTTTTTTAAAGTGTCTGCTTTTTGTAAGATGCTCAGTATGGGATGAGTTGTATAACCTTAGTTTGTCAAAGTTCTGGAAATGAAAAGATTTCTCTACTCAAGCACATTCCCTATTCAGCCTCTGAAAATGCGTCCTGAGAGTTTTGCTAACGTTCCCTAACAGACTTGGTCAGGGGGTTTGAAATCCCATTTCACAGCACAGCCAGGTCTTTCTGAGCTCCAGCCCAAAAAAACCTGACTGGAAAAGGCTCTGGGCTCTGCAAACACGGGTGGTTCTGTTCCATTCTGAGCAGTGGAATTACAGAAATGCACTTTGCTGCTCTAACTGGCTGTAAATGAGGTATTGTGTTGGTGGCAGCACGGTGTTTTGGAGGTATGAGACAGCACAGGATTGAATTTCATCCAGCTTTACTCACCATTAATCTGAATCAGGTTGTACAAATCAGGTGGTGCTTCAGCAACAGGAATGATACCGGATTATTTTTCCTGTTACTTAAAAAACAACCACCCAAAACTTAACTCTCAGCTCCTAATTTTTGATTTTACTTCACCCACACAAAACCCTGAAATCCATTTGCCATTTATGCCAGAACCTCCATCTGATTCCAGAAGGGAATGATGATCCTAACAGAGCTCAGGATAATATTTCTGTTGATGTCCTCCTACTTGTTCTGTGCTGTTTTTTTACAGCATTATAAACTATCCAGTATTTTAAAAGCTTTCTTCAATGTCACCTCTTTCACAAAGTCACAAAGACCATTAAACAAAATCATCCCAGTTCCATGTATGTTTTTTTCTTGCTTTTAATTTTACAAAGACGTCAAGAAAAGTGAGGCAAAGCTGGAGAATTCCAAAAATTCTGGAGGAATTTGACAGTGAATTTTTTTCTGTGCCTATTCTGAGGTTGCCAATTTTATCTGTCAATTTTATCTGTGCAATTGTTTGCAGCCCCTCCAGCAGCCAAGGCACTGCTCTCACACTGTTGGGGCACAGACTGTTCTCCTCTCCAGAAGGCAAATCCTTCTGGAACTTTCAGGATCCTCAGCCACAGCTTCTCTCCTTTCTCTTGACACCAACACATTACACACTTTTAGAGTCTTCATGAGAGCCTGTAAGTCCTTCCTCACACAGCAAAAGGAGGAGAACAATACCAGAAAGTCTGGAAAAAGCCATTTCAGTGTTTCAGAGTGGGAAGCAATTTATGGAAAACAGTTTTCGCTTCCTTTGCTGCCCCACGTACAGAAGAGGAATAAACACTGGGGATCTGCAGAAATGTGAATTCTTTGGGAGATTCAGACCCTGTAAGAACAACCCACAAAACAACAGCAAAATGAGAAATGAGTTCCTTGGGATTGAAGCTGGTTTAGACCCAGAGTAAAAATGTTCTGGATGGGGCAGAGGACCCTGGTTAGAAATCCAGAGTAATCACAAGGGACTATTAGCCTGAACAGCTTTTAACAACAAACATCCTTGTGGTAACCTTAGACTTTTCCCTTTCCTGAGGATAATGAGTCAGTCCAAACCAGTTTTCTTTTCTGGTACACAAATCTATTGAGTGGAATACAGAATATTCTCCAGTGAAGCAACTGGTTTCCGTGGATACAGCTAAGATTACACTTCAGCATATTTTTTCATTCAATTCAAAGTCTAGAGGAGCTCAATTTGCCTTATTAAGGACAAAAAAAAAAAAATTCTTTAGTAGTCTGTCCAGAATGCAGACAAAGGAAAGCAAATGTAGCATTCTGAAGCAAGAAGTCTTATGAGGACTGCTGCCCTTTTAGTTAGAGATCATTAAAAAAGGTTACATACTTACAGCAATAACTGTAAAAGAAACATGTAATTTAAACATTGGGAGGATGTGTGCCATTCTAATAATTATTTTGAAAGTATAATATGAATTTAAATGTTTTTCCTGGCACATTTAAAATATTTTTTATGGATATCTTGCCAAAATCCAGAATAATACACTACGTGGTAGATCTACTTTTCTGTAGCAAATAGACTGTAACACAGCAGAGTAGAAAATCTGTGAGACTTCTAATATAACACAGGATCAAAAAAATAATTAGCTGGAGATGAATTTTTATTTTTTCTTAATATCCTGGATACAAGAAACCACGTATTTTTCACATTCCCTTTAAACATTTGGTGACCCCGACAAATTTTTGTCCTTACTGTCAGGTTCACAGACTCCCACGTATTTCTGTGTCTCATTATTAGTCTAGAATAGAAATGTTTCTTCAGCTACATGATATTAAATGACTCAGTTACTACAGCTTCAATTACTGAGTTGCCTCCCCCATTAAGTGCCTTTCAGCACCCCTTATTTTTACAGAAATTGTTAAATTGTTGGCCTTGGCCTTGCACAAGAGCCACATGCATCCCACTGGTATCTCAAGGCAATTTCCTATAGATTCTTGAATTGAAACACCACGTGCTAGAATTTTACACAGGTCACAAAAATCCATCAGTTTTAGCTGCCAGAGAGTCAGAGGAAGGCAGAATTGACCAGAGTGTGAAGGGATCCTAATTCCACAGACACAAATGGAAGCAATGAAAACTCGTGTTCTCTCCTAAGCTGACATCATGTTAATATGGCTTTTATTGGGATCAATGGGATTGATCTACAGCAAACAATCACTGCTTTGCTCTTACCTCCCTTGCCTGCTTAGAGAACATCATATTTCTGCTCAACAAGTCTGCAGTGTCAAACACTTTCATGTTTTTATCCACTGAAGGATGTTTCCTGAGTTTGCCTGTTTTTCCCAAGCTTAATCCCTACAAAGGCACTCCCAAACTTCCATCCAATTTGCCAGATGTGGCCCAGCTGCTATGACACTGTTCCTTTTTGCTCTTTGCAGGGTATTTTTTGCTGATTAATACAGGAGACAGCTCTCTGAGGCTCCCCAGCTTCTGAGGAGCTGTCAGAGTTTTTGATCCACGTTTCTTATTCCAGACAATGTCATGATAAAATTCAGCAGTGCTCAAATTTCTGTTCTTTCATTAGGGCTCCCTTATCTATATAAACATTTCATGTTCTTTCTTTCACAATGCCTAGAGGTTTAGAATAGTTTTATGCATTTTCTGCCACTTCTATCTTTAATCTTGATCCCAGTTAGTTCTTTATAGTTGCCAGAGGCTCGCTTTTTTTTTTTGTTTTTTTTTTGTTTTGTTTTTCTTTGTTTTTAACTTCAAACACAACTTTCTGTTCTACTTCCTGCACCGAATACTGACAAGCTGAAAGGAAGGGATACAGGAAACACAAGGCAAAACTGCATTAATCTGCAAAACCTATTGCAGATAAGTAAGCTGTTGCTTAATTCATATTCCACCAGGGTGAGGCCAAACTATGAATTCAAATAAATATCTAAAATAAAAGGAAAAAAAAAAATAGGGAACAACTGCTTGTAGGGCTTCTTAGATATTTTGTTCATATACCTTCAAACTGCATTTTTTTTAAAAAATGATCTTCCATGAACACAATTTGGTGAATACTTTGCAGAAGGTGCTTGTATTTTAAGAAAAGTTTTGTTTGTTTCAATGGACTCTGTAACTTTGTGTAGTTTTAGGTGCTTACCTCATGGATGTATATTCATATATATCACTACTATACTTGTCTTTCTGGGAGAAAAAACAGTCGAGAAGCATATGGTGTCTATAACTGAATACTAAAGGAACCATGGAAAAGACCAAAATTATAACATTCTATAAAACCTTTCGCTTTTTTAGCTGAGAGGAATCTTAAAAATCCATTGCTTTTAAATTAGACTTTCTAGAATGAAAATAATTCTTCA